CCTGGTGATGCTGTTAATGAAATGCATAATTATGTGTTATATAATAAAACTGAGCTAACATGAAGGTGGCTAACAGATTATAATGATGTGGAGGCTTGAGAAACGAGGGACCGTGGAGGTTGTTGAAAAGTGCCTCCAGTGACAAAGAGGACATTTAAAGAGCTTTGATTAACTGTGCTAATAAATTAATTGTGGTCTGCATGCATGGGTGTGCAAACGACATATTTCAATATTTTGTAGATAGAGAGAATATTGAAAAAAATAGGTGCAATTTACTGGGCTGCTGATGTATGAAGTGTCAGTGCCGACTGTTTCCAGCATCTATTAGTGCTGCTGGCTCTGCAGAGATGGGTGCCCTAGGCTAAGAAATTTTTGGCACAGCCTGCTGCACACGTAAGATCAAAAGGGGAAAAAAAAAAAAAATCTGGCAATATGCACTGAGAGTAAATTGCATCCTAAAGAGCAGCCCCTAAAACGCAGGCTTGGAACAAGTATCAATAAATGAAACAGCACGTTTCATTGCTGAAGAGTTGAAGGCGTTTAGTGGCTGCCCCAATTTCCCCCCTCCCTCTGCTTTTGTCACCTTTATTTTCTCTCTCCCTCTAGCGCTCTGTGTGAGTTGTTCCTTTTTAAGGTTCTTTAGGAAGTTCTGTGAGCAGACAGGTATGTTAAAGGAGTGGCTGTATTGTCCAGCCCTGGACCAGATGAGCTCCTAGTGGTGCTGGACTGTGGCTGGGCTTGCTTGGCGGGAGCTCACCAGGACTTGTCTGCAGGCAGAATGGGCTTATGGGGAGCACCAGTGTGAATTTACAGCCTGCTGGCTACTTGGCACCAATTCACTCAGTGGATGCTTCTAGAACCTACTGAGAGTGCTTTTGTGTGAGCTAGGCTTGCTCCTTTTTGATGACGAAGGATGTTTTTCTCTTCGTGTGTGCCAAGAGTACCCAAATGGGCAGTTAGTGCAGGGTAGTTAACGTGCTGTAAATTCACACTTGGGCTCACCATGTGCTGACTTCCCCATGCAGAGGAGCCCCGAGGCTCTGCACTTTGTCTCTCCTGGCAGGGAACAGATGGCCCTTCTCTGCACAGAGACTGCTCACACAGTGTTACAGAGTGCACATGTGTGCATTGTGTGTGCATGTAGGTTTGTGGGTGTCCGTGTGTTTGTATAAGATGACTTGAATCTATCACAGTTGTTGGATTAATCTGTACTTTGATTTTCATCAAGATATCCTAAGGAGAACTTTACTGCTTCATTGCCGTCATCCTTGTCATTAATGGGCTTAGCTTTTAGCTACTTTTGACAAGTATTGTTGAATTCCTCCTTCTCCTTCACCGCAGAGATGCATAATTTCCTGATGTGAATGACTGCACTTTTGTAAGTGAATCTTTCTTTGTTGCAATTTCCTTCCCCAGCATTTCTGATTTGATCTCTGGCATCTATTTTCATATTTGATATGTTTCTATAGTCAATAAATGTTATTCTATAGCTTGAAACCTCCAAAAGGTAGGACATAAGGTTTTCTCAAGCTCTCTTGATGTGGAATCAGGTCAATCTTTAATAAAGCCTTTGCTCTAGGCTAGTGTCACAGATAACTTGATCTACAATTAGCATACACAGCTTCATCTTATCTAAGTTTCACAGTGGATTGCATTTTCATGCAAAGTTTTCTTGACATTTCTAAAATAATTTTATCTGTTCTTATGCTTCAAATATATATCATTTATATAATTTCTAAGTCATCTGCTTTAAGGTTTTGCTCTATCATTATCTATTCCCAAGAAAATTTAATATCACAATAATTGTCTCTCCATTTTCAACCCTTAGTGAGAGTTCAGGACAACTGTAGTTGTTCTGTTTTGGCCAAAGTTTCAATTTACTTACATATAGAAGATATTGCTCAAAATGCTTTTAACATGTCTTTCTTTAATGACCTCAGCCACGCTGGGCTGCCAAAGATAAACAGCATTTCTGCTTGGCTAGCATTAACTCTTGGAGGAAGCAAAGCCTGATGCTGAACATAGAGGCACTTGCTCTGAGTGTTCACGTTGCAAATGCTCAGTGCTGTAGAGAAGAGCCATCCCCATGCAGGAGGGCTGCAGTGCTGGGGAAAATCAGCACCAGCCACAGAGTTTCTCAATAGCAGATGTAAAATTCTGCTGAATATTTGAGAGAATAAAAGAAGAGAGCGCAGGCCAGGCCAGCTTGGCTGTTCCCGCTAGAGGATGGGAGGGTAGGAAGAAGGGATAAAATGGGATAAAGAATAAGGATGGGAGCCTGGAAAGCCAGCTTTATGGTTCTTACTATTCTGGAGATGGTCACAATTGCAGAATTGCAGCTTCTGAGATGAGCAAACAGTGCTACTCATCTCACCTCCCCGAGGCTCTCATGGCATCAGACATGCTCTGGTGCTCTGAACAAAGCAGGTAATAATGTCTGCTTGCTACATCCCATAATCAGCCTTCTTGGGCCTTTTGGGCTGAACTTCATGGTAGCTTCTTCTTTTGTCCTTTCTGGCAGATGACTCAGTTGCTGGATGCCTAGCTTCCTGTGGCTGGAAGAATGGAGGAACACATGGCTTCAGTTCCCTAGTCTGCATTTTGTTCTTGTTCATACCCAGAGGGTTTCTACTGATTTTGGAATGGTAGTAATGTGTCCACACAACTTGAACACTATCTTACCATATTCTGAGGGATTTTTTTTCAGTATAGGTTAAAATAATCATTTGAGAGAGTTTTCAGGGTATGAGTTTTGAGAGTTTTTGAAGTTAGAGTTTTAGAGTTCTTTTATAGTTTTTGGAGTGTTTTTAATATTAATTTTTAATGGTTGCTTTATTCTAGAAGAGTTCCCCATAGCAAGATTCTTTAAAAATAACCTAAAAAGGAATCCACAATAAAGGAGTCTCCATCTGTGTGAATGAATTGTGGCAGATATGATGAAGCAATTCTTAAAATCCCACAGTTGCTGTTTTCCTTTCAACTGACATGTTCCTGGTGTTTTAAAATAAAACAGCCAAATGCTAGGTTTAAAGAGACATTCAAAGAATGCTGTGGTGTTATTAAAAATTCTTAGCTGTGTCCAAGCAGAAAGGACAGTTACATGACCCTGTCGTGCATGACTGAACGTGCCATATGAGCCCCTCATTGGCATATACTCTAAATCATCCTTGATGTTATCATTCTGAACCCAGAATGAAGACACAAGGCTGAAAATATAAAGCCTGGATAAATGTGCTACAGCTTATCAGGCAGAAATATGTTTACTGGCATTCTTTGAATGTGGATGCTTGGAGTACTTAACAATTTTTACCTAATGAGGACTATTAAATGACAACGTACTGCAATTCACTTTGTCTGACTTGGAGAAAAGTTTAATGTTAGGAGGAAAGTTTGCATATTTAATTCTGGGATAACTGCCAATGAATAACCTTCTTATTTTAAAATAGAATAGGGGAAATAATGGGAAGGAGATAGAAATTTTTAATAATAATAGTAATAATACTAAAACCTTTAATAAAGTAGCGTAAAGAGAATATTTCGTTGCAGTAATTTTGACCAAGAAAAATGTTTGACTTGGTTTGAATTCACAGAATTATAGAATGGCCTGGGTTGAAAAGGACCACAGTGATCATCTAGTTTCAACCCCCCTGCTTTGTGCAGGGTCGCCAACCACACCAGACCAGGCTGCCCAGAGCCACATCCAGCCTGGCCTTGAATGCCTCCAGGGATGGGGCATCCACAACCTCCTTGGGCAACCTGTTCCAGTGTGTCACCACTGTCTGAGTGAAAAACTTTCTCCTAACCTAAACCTCCCCAGTCTTAGTTTAAAACCATTCCCTCTTGTCCTATCACTATCCACCCTTATAAACAGCCATGCCACCTCCTGTTAAGCTCCCTTCAGGTACTGGAAGGCAACAATGAGGTCTTCCTGGAGCCTCCTCTTCTCCAAGCTAAACAAGCTGTAAACAGACTGAAGTCCATTCATGTTACTCTGTACTTTGTATACAGTGATTCATTCTGAATCCTTTGTTCAAAGGCAGTTGTATTGGTGTGCTTCATGAAGTGACTGCCACCACAGCTGTTAGACTTCTGCAGGATGAGGAAACCTAGTCTACCTTTGCACTGCAGTGAATTAACAATATGGTGTTGTGTCCAACAATGGAAGCAAACCCAAATGGCTGAACAGAGGGATAAGGTATTAAAACGTGCTAAACATGTTGCCACCCATCTGACTGTACCCTAACTATGCAGGGAGATAGTGCAAATATTCTTAGGTAAGACAGATTAGATATCTTAGATACTTTACCCCATAATCTGCACATGCACTCTGTTTCCCAAAAATGGGTGTTGCAGTGCCATATTGATAGACTCGTGATCACAGGGAAAAGGATGTCTGCACAAGCCTTGTACTGCCAAATGTTGCAGAGCATGGGAACTGTGCGGTGTTCCTGCTTCTTGATCTCCTGAGCTGGGCTTCTGCTGAGAGCTCCTTGTTCTCTTTTCTGGCATTCTTCAAGATGATGTTAGTACAAAGAGCTTGTTCTGTCAGGAAGCAGCAGTATGGGAAAATGATTTTATATCTCCTGAGCTCAGCAAGAAAGAAAAATACTTGGATTTATTTGCATTTTTTAATATTAGTCACACTGCCAAACTATTTAAAACAATCTAACTACTCCATCTCTACTTACCCTTCTCTGATAACTGCAGAATTGTCACAAACCACCTGAAATATGGGACTCAGTCATGAATTTTAATGTCAGCACAGTGCTTCAAGATGATGGGAATGGGAGGGGGAGCTGTCACTATATCACCCAAGGCCTTTTGGTGGAAGTGTTGATAGATTTCCCATCCCTGGAAAGGAGGGAAAGTGCCCTTCCACTTCTAGCAGCTGCAGGGTATCTGAATTGCTTCCTGCTCCCCTGTGATAAAAGCAGGTAGTCCTCTGCAATCATTGCCAGTGTCACCAGTTGTATGAAAAAAATGTTTTTTTTTCTCCTTAGGTAGAGATCACAAATGATGTCCAGTCCTTGCTGCTGATAATGCTGGCTGTCATGATGGCCAAGATGGTTGGTGACATTTTTAACGCATCCCTGTACAGCTCCCTCCTGAGGCTGAAATGCATTCCTTACTTGGATGTGGAACCTTTTGTTCAACACAGGAGAGAACGGTGAGGTCTTTTTTGTTGGTGAGTTTTTTCTGTTGTGTTCTGCACTGAAACTGCATGGGTCCTACAAGTGGTGGAGCTTGGAAGGACAAAGCAGCAAAAGGAGGTTCTGGTCCTGAAGAGGGACCCCATGGAGTGCTGTGCTGTGTGAATAGAACAGTAGGGAGTCCTTTTCTCTTAGAGTTTTTCATAGGATCTAAATTACCACTTTCACCAGAGTCTTGAGGGCACTAAGTGCTCTATAATGCATGAACTGTCTAGTTGGATGCTATTTATTAGTGTGATTGGTCCAGTGGGGAATCTAATTGATGTTTACACAGACAGCTGTGACTGTTTCTTCTGAGTAGAAGCCACAGGGTGGAGGAACTACTACAGTTTGTGGAGTCCTTTATGGTAAATTTTGCCTTATCTAACATCTGGTTGACTGGACAAGGCTTCCTGTGTGTTTGGCACATTTTCAGGCAGAGAATTCTGCCATCTGAGGATAGCAATTTAAGGCAGGTCAGACGAACCGTCTTCTGGAAGCACCTCCACTGACTGAGGACTGAAGGAATAGCCTGGAAAAAAAGTGTTTCATCAGGTCAGGTGGGAGAAACCCAACCATTCCTGTGTATTTTCCAGTGTGCGAGCCAGTGTCTGAAACTTCAGTCTGTTCGTGAGCATTTACAGCCAGTAATTGAACCATTTATAATCAGTAATAAGAATCATTTTCTCTCCTAAACGTAGATGCTGGGTCTACATTTGTCTGTAGGTAATGAGAACTATGCTATTATATTCTACAAAAGAATGCAGAAAAGCCAATTCTTTAAGATATCCTCTATGAATGAAATAAGTTTCATGATGGAAAATAGAAGGAAAAATGATTTTATTTATTTATCACACAAAGACTTTTTGTTTTACTTAAGGGATATTTTGGTAGTATACATCTATGACCAAACCTATTTGTAGGGCCTTCAGCTGTCATTTTTCTCAGTATTAAACTCTACTGGAAAATCTCATGTATTCAAATGACTCTTTAGAAGAACAAAAATATCAGTGACTTGTTCTATCCACACTTTATAACTTTTTTCTAAATGTAGCCAAATCTGAATGTTTTTAGCAAGCACATTGAATGCTGGGTACAATCCAACTGTTTTTGACAGCCAGCAATGTGATAGGAGGAAATAAAAACAATCTGTGATATAATAGATGACTTCTATATGTAACATGGCAGATAAAACAGAGGGGAAGAAGTCATAAAGTTTCCTGTGGTGCTTCGGTTGGATGACAGGTCCATGGAAAGAATTGTAGCTATTTTCCTGGTTCAGAATAAGGTCCAATTCACTTGAAGGACAAATCTATGGAGGTGTTCAAGGAACGTTTGGATGTTGTGTTGAGGGACATGGTTTAGTGAGAACCATTGGTGATGGGTGAATGGTTGCACTGGATGATCCTGTGGGTCTTTTCCAACCTTAGTGATTCTATGATTCTATCTAGCTATCTACGTATGCATCCATATAAAAATAATCAAATATCCCTTCCACTCCTTTCCCTTCTTTCTGAGGAACATTAAAGAAAATTTCTGGTCACAGAATACACTAATAATCTAAAGCAAAATACATAGTATTACGGCTTGGTAAAATTTTATAGAACCTTATAGGCTGCCAAGTTTTGCTCTAAATCTTCTCAGTTTGAATAAGCTATGGCACTGGTCCATTGCTTGCTGTCTCCACTGCATTTCTTGAATGCTCTGTCACCTTATTATTTCCCCAAGGAGATGAAGCTTCACCATTCAGTCACCTTAGACCTCCAAGATGTGGTTTAATTCCTTGATCTTTTTTATAGTTAGACATCCCAAAATCCTGAACATTGACTTGAGGCAACTCTGGACTGATGATCCACCTCTTAAAGTTGTGTGATAATTTAAACATTTGATGCCTCACATGTAGTCTTTGTAAGCATTCTAAAAGCAAACTCCTGGTACTTTCCCTAGCCATAAAAAACAAAAACACAGATTCATATGAGACAGAAACAACAACAACAACAAAACACAAAAAAACCTCTGTGTTCACATTCCCACATCTCTGCTTCTTGTTCACTTCTGAGCATCCCTGAAACTTGAGTAAAAATTCTACAGAAAGGTGCAAGGCTGGGACTTTCCTTTTCATGCATTTTCCATGCAGACTAAGTTATCTCATTTGCTTTCTATCTTACTGGTCCTGCAGCTAACAAGATGCTATGGGAGCCTGCCTATCTGCTTCTCTAGTCTTTTATCAAAGAGGGACTGTTCTGACTATCTGATCCTTTGCTGTTTTTAAGTTCCACTCTGGGGGTATTCAGAGTCTGTGTGGGAGTATTCCACTCTGGGACTCTTCACGTGTCTGTACCCAGCTGTCATTTTGCACAGGCTGTTTCCTTATTCTTGATGGAGCAGCTTAGCTGAGCATTTGCAACAAGCTTATGCCTGCTCTGGCAAAGCACAGGTGCATATGGGGCAGGTTTAGCATCCTTTTTCTTCAATGATACTAACTATTGTCTGAGATCACAAACTATATAAATTGTGCACTTCTGGATTCCCCCAAACATAACAAGGAATAAGGTCAGCTGTGTAGCTACTGACAGCATGTATTTATCATGTATTTATCATGCATTTATCATGCATTTATCATTTATCAGGTGATAAATTGTATTTCCGTATGCAGTATGAATGGTTTGGATAATTATCAGCTTGCTTTAGAGCCACAAAAATGGGGACCCTTCTTCAAGTGAAACTGAAAAGCCTTTGGAAAAACAGTGACTAGGTGGTAGCAGGGAGGAAAAATGAGAAACTCTAGAGAACAACAGATATTTATATGCACTTAGCACTCATACTGTAAGAGAGAAATACAGATCTTCTCATTCCTATTTCTTCAGAGGCGTTACGGATGGAAAGATCTTCTGTTTTAGATAATTAGTTGATTCCTCTTCCAGTGGACAACGCCCCCAGGCAGAAGATTTGTTGGACACTGAAATGAAAAGGGAAAGTAGTCTTTAAATGATCAAGGCAAGTAAAAGCCAGACCCACAAAATAATTTAACTCCTAACTCCTATGGAAATAAGTGGGAACATTAAGACGCTAAATTACGTAATTACTTGCTTTGAAGACATCTCCGTGTTGCATATGAAACCAGTGGAATTGAGACCCAAGTCCTCCGTGGTTTTCCACTACCTAACTCCTCTGCAGGCACTGGAATCTCTCGAAATCTTTCTTCCTACAGAGCAGAAAGCCTTGACGTTTGTTTTCTTAATACTCATTTATATCTGAATTTCCTTGACCATTCTGCAAGTTGTATCCTGTGCCCTGACTGATAAGGCCCCAAAGACAGCTGTATTTAGTACATGGCTGCTACGGTGCACCATGATTTCCAGCTTACGTCTTACACCACCGTAAACACCCCTCTTATAAAATCTGGTTCACTGGAATGCTCCGAGCTGCTGGCTGCCAGGGAATGTTCTTTAATGAGGGTAAGGAGTACTTGAACACATCCACATCTTGGCAACCCTTCCTGCTTTTTATAAGCTACTATACACTTCAGAGAGAAAATATCTTAGAGGCTACTTTTTAATGGGACAAGTTTACTTAAGAGCTGAGTGGAGCTGGTGCCAGTAGTTCTGTTTTGTTCTAGCTTAATATTAGCCTTGTCAAAGTTCTTATAGTGTCTCCTGGGTGTTTCTATATTGCATACCATATAAAGCTGATTTTGGGAGCCAAGAATTTTGGCTGGAATATATATTATAGTGGTCTCATTATATATTTTTTTAAAGTGTATCAGAGGTGGCCCTGTATTAGAGATCCACGGAGCAAGGGTGATTTTTTTCCTTTATCCCTTCTGGTTTTCTCTTCTCCCACACCGCAGACATTGGATCCAGAGTCTGAGCCAACGCAAGTTGGAGGGTTATTTGGAATCCAATGTCCTGGTTTGGCCTGTTACAGAAATCAGTGTAATTAGCAAACTTTTTAGATGAGGCTTTGGATTTTGAAAATCACCAGACTTTGGGGGTATGCTTTTGGTTTGAGCCTAGACTAGTAACTGGTATACTAAAATTTCCTCACTCATCTTGCTGACACAAGTGTTCATTCTGAGACTTTTCACTAGGTTGCATGTGGTGCACCCCATCTCACCTCCTTGAAAAGCCAGCGTGTCCCACAGCCACTTGGCGCTTTCATCCTGAAAGGGATCATTAAGGGTGGACTTGGCAAAGTTTTCTCATCAGAAGGCATCCAGTCTCCCTTTTGTAGAGTGTTTGTGGTAGGAGCTGGATCTTGTTCTGGCTGCACAAAGGAAAAAGGGAGCTGTTGTAACAAGGCCATGCTTTGACTGGGGAGAAGTCTGGCTGCTGGAGAAATGATAGAGGGAAGATGTTGAGATGTGGATGAAATTTATTAAAATTACATACGGACTTTAAGTTGCTCCTCTGTCAGGCATAAGCAAACATGGCAAAGGGCTGTTTTTCATCCTTTTTTTTTTTTTTTTTTTGCCTATTCTTTTCTTATGAGCTTTGAGTTTAGCATGATTCCATTATCTGGAAAGCACCTATACAAAACCATAAAATCCTGTGGCAGGGCCACAGCTTTGGCAAGATGTAACTTGATGTGCTTTATAAAGAGTAGCTGCACTACCTTGCCTTGTTTTTAGCATGGGCTTGGTGGTGCTCATGTGAGATGGCTGAAAGGACTAACTGTGCCCTCCTGCCCTGCACCAGATCTCTGCAGAAATATCTAGCCTTTCTACCTTCACAGTCTTGGTATTCTGGAAAGAAGCCGGTATTTCCTTGCTTCCTTCAGACAGTTTTTGGCTCCAAATTACCCAGAACTGTTCCTAAAAAAAGTGCACATGGATTTGGTGTGCATGAACCTATATGAAGAAGGTTGTCTTAATGTGAATGAGAGGTGAATTATCAGCTGGGCAGAGTTGCAGGTGTATGTTAACCTGGATACTTACATTACTGGTGTACTTCTTGCTCTCTGACAGGTAGTGATGAAT